GTACAATGTGGAGTCTCCTCTTCTCCCAGTACAATGTGGAGTCTCCTCTTCTCCCAGTACAATGTGGAGTCTCCTCTTCTCTCAGTACAATGTAGAGTCTCCTCTTCCCCCACTACAATGTGGAGTCTCCTCTTCTCCCAGTACAATGTGGAGTCTCCTCTTCTCCCAGTACAATGTGGAGTCTCCTCTTCTCCCAGTACAATGTGGAGTCTCCTCTTCTCCCAGTACAGTGTGGAGTCTCCTCTTCTCCCAGTACAATGTGGAGTTTCCTCTTCTCCCACTACAATGTGGAATCTCTTCTTCTCCCAGTACAATGTGGAGTCTACTCTTCTCCCAGTACAGTGTGGAGTTTCCTCTTCTCCCAGTACAGTGTGGAGTTTCCTCTTCTCCCACTACAATGGGGAGTCTCCTCTTCTCCCAGTACAATGTGAAGTCTCCTCTTCTCCCAGTACAATGTGGAGTCTCCTCTTCTCCCAGTACAATGTGGAGTCTCCTCTTCTCCCAGTACAATGTGGAGTCTCCTCTTCTCCCAGTACAATGTGGAGTCTCCTCTTCTCCCAGTACAATGTGGAGTCTCCTCTTCTCCCAGTACAATGTGGAGTTTCCTCTTCTCTTCTATAGAAGTGAAGTCCGGGATGAGAGACGAGAGCCTCTGGAAGTGAGTGTCCTTCACTGCAGAGTACTCGGGGGCACTGTAGCAGGAAGTGGATCTAATCCTCCGGGTCCCCCTGGTCAGAACACTAGCACATTGCACTCTCCCTGGGCTTGTAGGTCTGTCTGTGCTGCGCTGATTCGATTTCCAGTCTCTAAGCACTCCCTGAGTCTGTACAGACTCAGGATTTGTCTGCCTTTGGGGTCTTGTAACATCTCCAGGTATGGGGCCAGTTTGTATTCTCTCTGTAGTGACTGGTAAATAGTTTCTGGGAGTTTATTTAATTGCTCCATTCTCTGAAATAGTTTTCTTTAGTTCATTATGTCCTTTATTTGAGATTTTGTCAGGACACATTCATGGGTGCTTTGATGAGCAAGGTGGTGATGAACTGGGATGGTCCTTGTTGGCCAGTAAGGCTTTATGTTGGTATGAGTTGGGGCTGCTATTTTTTAGGTCATACTAGTATAATAGTTCTCTCTTCTGTACTTCTAGAAGTAAAGGGAATCTGCCCAGCTCTGCCCGGCAAGCATTGTTAGAGGTCCTCCGATGCACTTGGAGGAGGTGCTTGCAGAATTCTAGATGGGAAATTTCTGTTTAGCTGAAGTCCCATTGAGGTTGGTTTGGGTAGGTGACAAAGCCCCATACTTCACTACCACAAAGGAGGATTGGGATGATGACACACTCAAAGATTTTAAGCCAGATTCTTACAGGTGGTATAGCTATCTCCTGATGGCATAGAAGGTTCTACATGACTTGTCTCATGGCCTCTATGGCTGGCTTGAAACTTCCTAGGCCGTGGTATCCTTCACTCCCTCTATCTCTCGCTCCCTTCCTGTCTGTCTCTCTCTCTCACCCCTCTTTCTTTCTCTGTCTTTCTTTCGCTCTCTTTCCCACTTTCTCTCTCCCTTCCTCTCTCTCTATCTCTCTTCCCCTGTCCCTCTATTTTCTCTAGCTCTATCTCCCCTTCCCTCCCCCCTCTATATTCACTCTCTGACTTTCCCACGCTGTCTTTCCACCTCACTCTTTCCATTCCTCTCTTTTCCTCTCTTCGTCTCGACCTCCATCCCTACCTCTCTCTCCCATAGAGGTAAGCAAGGCTTACTGTTTGTCAGCCAAAGGATTCAGTCCATCAAGATCACGTTGGGGTCACCAGAAACTGTCCTGGCAGAAACAGTCAGACCACCAAGAGCAGTAAATGTGTTCTTGTCCATAAAATTGGATCCTCAATACGTATTGGACACAATGTCAGATTGTCATTATGCAAATTTTACTATTGGCTGTGAATTTATATAACAAAATATATTTGCATAATTAGTTTGATACATCCCAGTTACGTCCCACAATTGGTGGACATGAAGATATAAATCATCCAATAGAAATTGATTAATTAGCTTGGCAGATAAATAGTTACCTGTCCATAACCACATAGCAACAGCCAAAAATCTATGTTTTAAGGATCCTAACATTTCTGGAAACATCTGGTATACTATAAAGGTGAAGCATCCCCTTTTACTGTCAGTACAAGACATTTGATACATGAGGAAAGGAGAACTCTTAATGGTTTAAATAAGTCCTTTGATACAATATGAAAGAAGATGTATTTCATTTTAGCTATCAGCAAAAGCAAGATTTTAAAAGCAGAAAATATATTTTAGATTTTTAACCTTTATAGCTGAACAAACAAAATGGAGCCTTTATAAATGAAATGGATCCTTAAAGACAAGCTGAATGTTTGCCTATGTTCATGAGAGTATATACTTTTCTCATTTTCCACCTCAGGTTTAGCTGCATGTTGAACTATACACAGACCACAGGGCAACTTGTAGTGATGACAGAACACTCTGATACATGTATTATATGGAACAGCTGCTTGGATGATGCAATATTCCAGTAAACTCTGCATGTTAAAAGAGAACTATGGCCCAATGTTTTTTGGCCATAGTCAAAGGATCAGCTGAACCTTCGGCTAGCTTTGTGAATAACCCCTTAAAAGTGTGTGAGAAACACTTAACAACATTTAAACGGCTTTTTCCCCTGTGTGAATCTTCTGGTGTTCAGCAAGTGTAAGCTTATAAAAAAAGCACATGCCACATTCTGAACATATAAATGGTTTCTCTCCTGTGTGAGTCCTCTCGTGACTAGTAAGGTGAGAACTTCTTGAGAAACATTTTCCACATTCTGAACATTTATGTAGATTCTCTCCTGTGTGGATCCTCAGGTGCCGAGCAAGATGAAAATTTAGTGAGAAGCACTTCCCACATTCTGAACATTTATATGGTGTCTCTCCTGTGTGGATCATCTGGTGCCTAGCAAGATGAGCTTTTTTTGGGAAACACTTGTCACATTCTGAACATTTATAAGGTTTCTCTCCTGTGTGAGTCTTCTGGTGTACAACAAGTGCAGATTTAAAAAAGAAGCACTTGTAACATTCTAAACATTTAAATGGCTCTTCTCCAGTATGAGTCTTCTGGTGTACAATAAGTGAAGGTTTAGAAAAGAAGCACTTCCCACATTCTGGACATTTAAATGGTTTCTCTCCCGTGTGAATCCTCTGGTGATTAATAAGACTAAAATGATCGGAGAAGCACTTGTCACATTCTGGACATTTAAATGGTTTCACTCCTGTGTGGATCCTCTGGTGCCTAGTAAGATGTGAATGTGCGGAGAACCTCTTGTCACATTCTGAACATGTATATGGTTTCACTCCTGTGTGGATCTTCAGGTGTTCAGCAAGACGATAATTGCTTGAGAAGCACTTGTGACATTCAGGGCATTTATATGATTTCTCTCCTGTGTGAATCCTCTGGTGTACAGTAAGAATAGAACTTCGTGAGAAGCACTTTCCACATTCTGAACATTTATATGGTTTCTCTCCTGTGTGAATCCTCAGGTGTTTAGTAAGACCAGAATTTTGTGAGAAGCATTTGTGACATTCTGAACATTTAAATAACTTCTCCCCGGTGTGTGTGACGGACCCCCGTACTCAGGATGAGTATGTCCGCCGCTGTCTTCTTCCTTGCTGAGGAGATATTGGAACCCGCTGATCTGTAGCTCCCAGTTTCCCCAGTCACTGGCCAAGGCTGGAGTGTAGGGTAAACAAACTCTGCTTTATTGAGCAACTGCACAAACTTATATACAGCAAGTGATGAAATCAGAATATAATCCCATCACATCCCCCGTCCCCTCCCTGGACATTCTGTCTTCATAACACCACAGGTGTCCACCTGCTAACGAGCTCCAGACAGCCATAACAGCAGCCTGGCCAGAATGTCATTGTTCTGAGCTCCCTCAGAGAACAATAGGAGATAACGAGGGATTGTTCTGATAGTCTTTCCATAACCAGGTCACACAGCATAACGCACTCAAACATAACTCAATACCAATACACATTTAACTTAACCAATACACATAAACTGATCACCATGTCGTCACAGTGTGAATCCTCAGATGACTAATGAGTTTTGACTTATAGATAAAACTCTTCTGGCACACAAAACATTGGTGCAGCTTCTCAGTAACTTTGTTCATTTTGTGGCTCTGTTTAGCAATTAATTTTTTCCGCAGTAGATGTTGAATGGCTAATTGAGGTCATTAATTACCTATATGAAAAGTAAAAATAAATGTTTACACACAATCTCAATACAAACAACAGACTGAGGTCAGATATTGAGTTTTGAGTTTAGAAATGTAAGACTTCCTCACTGCCCTTAGCAGATTTACTGTATGTAATAATTATCCATAACTCTGGCAGAGTAGAGATATAGGACTTTACTGTTTTATAGACAAAAATCCAAAGTGTACACCTATAGTTTATCATTATAGTGACCTCAGTTGTCTTCTTATACTCTTCTTATAATAACTAGACATGATGAGTCTATCTAATCCAAATATGTTTTCCCTTTTGGGCTTGTTCCCACTATCCAGTGCAAGGTTCCTTTCCATGAAAACACTAGATCACATAAACAAACCCTTCCTGCATTCTGGGGTGGAAGGGTACATGATGGTGCCATTAATTCCAAAGGCACTGCAGACATGCCTTCCGCCCACATGTGGTACAGCAATGCCCTGCATTCTAGTGTGATGTGATCACAAAAATTGTGCATGCAGTATTTCTTTTTTGGGCAGGGTTTGTGTATGCGATCTGAGCAAGAAAACATGGGACTCCGGCGCTCCAATATCATTGAAGAAATGTCCTTTATTTGCACATGTGCATAATATCACATAGTGGCAACGTTTCGGGGTCACGAGGATCCCCTTCATCAGGCAAAACCATGTGAAATAACAAGTGCCAAGCAGACAATATATACGCATAGTGCATAACACCCTGGCCAATCCTAGCACTACAAAACACACAATTATGTCATAATGACATCATGATCCCACCAGAATTACAAAGTATGTAGCAGAAAAGGATATAGGGCAATCTATGCTGGAATAAGTAAACATTAATGTGTAATAAATGGCAGTATCCAGCCTGCAAATTGTATATATTCACCTGCTGGTGAAATATGAGGGGATAATCTGTGCATGGGGACCATGCTGCTCGTTGTAAGGGGCTATGCATTATATCTACACAAGCTTGAAAAGAAAGCCAATCTGACAAACAAAATCAGCCATTGGTTTATTTGACAACGATATTGACGACATTGTACATCATGTAAATAGATTATGAACCATGTAAAAAATATTAGAGATGGAGAGATAAATAAAAAGGATATATGAAAATGATTACAAATTAAAAAAATATTAAAAAGGGCATACATATAAAATAAATAATATATATCACATTTACCAATAATTAAATAATCTATACAAAGGTATGAAAGGAGAGGGGGGGTAATAAATATGCCTTAGATAATGCCGGCAATTCACTACATACACACACACAGACACACACACACACACGCACACAATGCTCCATGGAAACGAGACATGTACACGAATCATACCATAAAATACCACAATAATCATGTGGCTGGGATTGTAGATGGATGAAAATTGAGCACATTGAAACAAAGACAACTATGGATACACTACATATAGCAGTGTCTACACAGGACTGAAAAAAAGGGGCCCAAAATGTGCAGACACCCCAGAGGATTGGCAACTGAAAAAAAAAACCTGTGGAACAAGGGAAAGGAGGGAGGAGAGAGAAGGCCTGGGAAAATGGGATTCACTAAACTACAAAGGCTATATCAATCCCCTCATTGAGTCCCACTGGGGACAGGCTATTGAGAATGTAGATCCAAAAAGCCTCCCTGGTGCAAAGCTTCCTGAATCTAACACCCCCATCAGCCATTTTGGGAATTCCCTCAATGCCAAAGACTCTCAGTCCATCAGGTTTAGCACTGTGGAGTTTAAAAAAATGCCAAGGCAGTGAGTAGTCATCTTTTTTGTTCAGGATATTCCTTTTATGCTCACCAAATCTAATTCTGAGAGTCCTCGATATACGGCCCACGTACAATTTGCCACAAGGAAAGCCAATACCATAAACTATACATTCTGACCCACAGTTTAAAATTTGTTTTACACGGAAAGTTTTACCATTGGAGCTGATAAAATCTTTTTGACGGTGCCACAAAAAAGGACGAGCTCCACAATTGGGTGACCCACATCTAAAACAACCTGTTTGTGCAAGAGCATTGATTTTTAATTTTCATCATGAAAAAAACTTTTTAATGAATTTAATAAATGTATACTATTTTCTAATTATCTGAACCCCATCACAACCTTTGTTGTAAATGTATATGTAACCTGTTTGCCCATAAAATTCCTTTCCCTAAAGCTATTGAGCCTGATTTTAACTTACTGGGTGCTAGAGAGCTACGCAGATCTTTTGTTTTTTTAAAAGCTTTGCAGGGCCTCTCAGGAAGGGATTCAGATAGTATTGGATCCTCTTTAAGTATTCTACAATGCTCTTTTAAGGATTTTGGCGATCCTGAAGGCTCCATCATGAAATTGAGTACAGAATCTTAAGCCAAACTGTTCTCCTGATCTCGAGCTAGCATTAGGCCTGTTGGTATAATGGGACTGGTGTGTGACGAAAGCCCTGTCCATGAGCTCAGCATCATAACCTTTGTCCAGAAACCTGTTTTTAAGAATTTTTCCTTGAGTCAGATAGTCACTATCCAGGGTGCACGTCTGCCTTAAGCGGCCAAATTGCCCTTCCAGGATGTTTTTTATCCACCTGGGATGATGGCAGCTCCTGGCATGTAAATATGAGTTGCCAGCCGAAGGTTTCTACACACATAATAACAGATATCCAAACAAGATCCAGCCAGAGCCACCACTGCAGAGCCACGGGAAATATTAGCACATTCACAAATGAAATGCAAGGAAGAGGAGAGGATCCCCCGGTGTCATCTCGCCCATGTGTGTCACATCATTCCAGTAGAAGCGCAGTTTTCTGATGATGAGGCTCAATCATTTCTAAACACACTCCATCACAATAGCAATATTGTAAATGATTCTTTGAGGCTCAATCATAGTCCGACAGAGTCACAAGGCCAGGAAGCGTCTTGGCCGCCATGATGGAGGAGACATCTGAACAAGAGGGGACCCCAAGAAACCAAATTCTGCACCCCAAACTTTGTAGATGTAGGGGAGGCTTCCCTCCTAAGGTGCGTTTAGCAACCTGAATGGAGGGAACTACAGGAGAGGCTGAACCTGTGCGGCAGACCAGAGGAAACCGGCAAGGTGAAGGTAAAATAATAACAATGAATCATAGTAACGGCATAGCCCGCAGTGAGGACAAAACGTAGAAAATTCTGCCTTGCCTGGCTGTTTTCATGTATAGTATAACCAGGCCTCTGATTTGGTGAGCGACAGAGCTATGCCCATGTGTATGCTGCCATGCTTGTGTGAGGAAATATATCTATACACATACATGTAGGTAGGTGCAGTACGGCCAATGGCCACTAGATGCCCCCATGGGGCCCTAGAGATAGATGTAGCTCTGGCCTGGGGAGACTCTGTGTCCCAGGAGAGCTGATTTATAGGGGGCACCCGAGAGAGAAAAGTAGAAGTAGAGTGCAGGAGAGCAGAAGTTTAAGACTGTATGCAGAGTCTCTGGAGAGAGACTGATTCTAAAACATAGGCTGGTCCATGGGAAATACAGGACCAGGCCTAGGACTATGTAGAGCTATAGAGATTCCCCAGTTTCCGCTGGAGGGGGAAACCACCGAGCTAGGACTGACAAGGATGGGATTCTGGAGAATAGTGAGGAGCTGTAAGACTGGCAATATTTGCCAGTGGGCCTCTGGCCGAAGTAAGTCGTGGACTCTCTGCTGCACCTGGGCTGTTTTTCTCTCTCTCTAATCTGTATCACTATGCAACTATCAAGAGATGTGCCGTCATCCCACCCAGGGATGGCTGAAACGTAGGCTTATTGTCATGTTCATCCTTTTCAAGTAAAACCCAGAAAAGACTATCTGTGTGGACTGGTTCTTCTCCATCCAACCTCTGAGAAGGTTGGGTTCTACAGGAGTGTGATGTTGGACTGTATCGTGGCTGTAACCATCCTGAGGAGGGTAGGTGTGCAAAGGGGCTATGCCCGACATAGGGTGCCTTTCATGGTGGCCTCTCGTCCTAAGGGGAAGGGAGCACCGACGAACGCAGAGGCGGTTGAAGCCATGTGGGCCCTGTGTGCGCAATACTACACATGTGGGAGTGTTTGCACGAGGCCCCTGAGCGTGGGGTGCCTGGTGTCGTGTTGCATCCACGGGGTTACACAGAGCCAACCCAAAGGGAACACAAACGCACCACCCCGAGAGTGAACCCCGCCTACATACACAAGTCGAGGTCGAGCACTCACAGGCCTTGTAGCAGGAGAAATTACAGTAAACAACAAATGCGTAAGATGGAGATGAAAGGATTACTTCACCTTTGTTACTCTAAACCAGGGGAAGCCAAACCTCGGCCCTCCGGCTGTGGTGGAACTACAAATCCCACAACACACTCTGCCTCTAGAAGTGATGCCTGTGGCTGGCTGAGTCCTGCAATGCCTCATGGGACTTGTAGTTCCACAAAAGCTGAAGGGATAAAGTTTGGTTACCCCCCTCAGTCTACACCTTATTGCAGCAGCTCTTATATCTAATATTCATGTCCATATTTATTTCTCTGACATATGAACGTACCTCGGTGTTCAGATCTCCTGCATGTTCTGGCTCTTCTTACAAATGCAGCTGCAGAACTTCTCCTTCCTGCTTCCAGTCATCTGAGACTGTGGTTTAGTGTCCTGATAGGAGACTACAAGTCCCAGAATCCAATGCACGGGGGGAGGGGGGAGAGTGTGTTCATGGGAGCTTCTCTCTGTGAGGAGAAGACGAGGTAATACGGCTTCCTCCTTCCTGCTGCTGTGACAGGGGGAGGGGAGCCTGAGGACACACATGTCTGGATTTACCTCATCTTTAGCACAACAACCTCACTCGTCTCACATCATAACCATGATAAGAACGCTGATTGTTACAGACATAGAACTCTGCAATGTAGAACATTTATGGTGGAAACATGTATAAGTACAAAGAAAATAAAACCATATTGTCATTGTGTGCAGCGTTATATAGGACAAGACACTGTCTGTTATCAGATATATAAAACTCCAAAATAGGTTTCACTCTCCTTCCCTCTCTCCCTGCCTCTCATTCTGGGGGAAATGATGAAAACTGGAGCAGACAGAATCTAGACCAGTTGCCCCTGGCAACCAATCAGCGCCTCTCTTCACTTTGTTCCGTTAAGCTCTAAAAATTAAAGAGAGAAGCTGATTGGTTGCACCAGAAAACTGCTCCAGTCTTGATATATTCCCCTCTGTGTCTCTTTCACTACCTCTCCCTCTCTCACATTCCCCACCCATGTCTCTCTCATTTCTCCTCCCCCTCCTTCTCTATATCTGTCCTACACTCTGTCTCTCTCTCCCTCCTTCTGTTTTTCTCTCGTGCTCTTTTTGTTGTCCCTTCCTCTCACTCTCTCTCCCCTTTTTTCTCTCATTTCCTCCCTCTGTATCTCTCCTTACCACTCTCTCTCTCTTTCTCCCTCTCACACTCTGTCTCTCTCCCTTCCATTGTCTCCCTTTTCACTCTCTTTTTGGTGTCCCTCCTTTTCTCTTTTTCTAATTTCCCCCATGTCCCTCTCCTTTCTCCTACCCATCTCCCCCCCTACTCTATACCTGTCCTACACTCTGTCTCTCTCCATCTTACTACCACTCTGTCTTTCTCTCACACTCTTTTTGTTGTCTATTTCTCTCTCTCCTCCCTCCCTCTCTCCTTGTTTCTCTCTCTCCCTTCCTCTTTATCTCTCTCCTCCGCTCTATCTCCCAAACTCTCTCTCTTTTTGTTGTCCCTCCTTATCTCTCTCTCCCTCCTTCTACCACTCTCATTTTCCCTCTGTCTCTCTCCTTTCGCTGCCCCCTCCCACTCTAAGGCCTGGTTCACACCTGGGTGTTTTACAGCGCGTTCCTACGCACTGTAAAACGCTCAACATGTGAAAACCAATAATTGCTTATGGGCATGGTTCCCACCTGGGCGTTTTACAGCGCGTAGGAAAGCGCTGAAAAACGCCCTACGCCCAAAGAAGTACAGGAGCTTCTTTGGGGCGTATTTGCTGTGCCTATCCATTAGGATACAGGTGGATAGCCCCCGGAAACGCGCGTTTGTCGCAAATCGCGGTAAAAACACGTGGCATGAAAGGCGCGGTAAACGTGCATATTCCGTATGCCCAGGTGTGAACCCAGCCTAAATATGTCCTAAATTCTGTCTCTCTCTCCCTCTATGTCTGTCTCTATCTCTTTCCTCTATCTCTCTCCCCCCTTTTTTTCCTCTCTCTCCTTCCCTCTCTCTCTATTTCTCCCCTCCACTACAATGTGGAGTTTCCTCTTCTCCCAGTGCAGTGTGGAGTCTCCTCTTCTCCCAGTACAATGTGGAGTCTCCTCTTCTCCCAGTACAATGTGGAGTCTCCTCTTCTCCCAGTACAGTATGGAGTCTCTTCTCCCAGTACTGTGTGGAGTTTACTCTTCTCCCAGTACAATGTGGAGTCTCCTCTTCTCCCAGTACAATGTGGAGTCTCCTCTTCTCCCAGTACAATGTGGAGTCTCCTCTTCTCCCAGTACAATGTGGAGTTTTCTCTTCTCCCAGTACAATGTGGAGTTTTCCCTTCTCCCAGTACAATGTGGAGTCTCCTCTTCTCTTCTATAGAAGTGAAGTCCGGGATGAGAGATGAGAGCTCTGGAAATTAGTGTCCCTCACTGCTGAGTACTGGGGGGCACTGTAGCAGGAAGTGGACCACCTCCTTCAGGGCCCCCTGGTCACAACGCTGGCACAGTCTATTCTCCCTGGGCTTGTAGGTCTGTCTGTGCTGCCCTGATTCGATTTCCAGTCTGTGGGCACTCAGTCTGTACAGACTCAGGATTTGGGCCGAGGTATCCTTCCCTCCCTCTATCTCTCGCTGTCTTAATTTCTGTCTCTCTCTCTCCCCCCTCTTACTTTCTTCCCCTCTCTTTCCCACTTTCTCTCTCTCTCCCTTCCTTTCTCTATCTCTCTTCCCTCCCCCTCTATCTTCCCTCTCTGACTTTCCCACGCTGTCTTTCCACCTCACTCTTTCCATTCCTCTCTTCTCTCTTTTCCTCTCCTCGTCCCGACCTCCATCCCTACCTCTCCCTCTCTCTCTCTCATATAACTAAGTAAGGCTTACCATTTTGGGTGCCGACTCAGATCCATCTTTGACCCTGCACAACTGAGCTGCCAGTCAGACAAAGGATTCAGTTGATTAAGATCACATTGTGGTCACCAGAAACTGTCCTGTCAGAAACAGTCAGACCGCCAAGGGCAGTAAATGTGTTCTTGTCCGTAAAATTGGATCCTCAATACGTATTGGACACAATGTCAGATTGTCATTATGCAAATTTTACTTTTGGTTGCGAGTTTATATAATAAAAAATATTGGCATAATTACTGAGATACATCCCAGTTGCATCCCCCAATTGGTGTACATGATGATATTAATCATCCAATAGAAATTGATTCATTAGCTTGGCGGATACTTATGCATCATGTCATACCATCAGGGAGCATGTGATTGGCCCCAAATGTAATCTGCGGTAGGACAATGACCCCAAACATACAGCCAATGTCATTAAGAACTATCTCCAGTGTAAAGAAGAATAAGGAGTCCTGGAAGTGATGGGTTGGCCCCCACAGAGCCCGGATCTCAACACCATGGAGTCTGTCTGGGATTAAATGAAGAGACAGAAGGATTTGAGGAAGCCGACATCAACAGAAGATCTGTGCTTAGTTCCCCAACATGTTTGGATCAACCTACCTGCTGCGTTCCTTCAAAATCTGTGTGCAAGTCTACCTAGAAGAAGACAAAGGGTTGTCACACCAAATATTGATTTGATTTGTATTTCTCTGTAGTTCATTTACTTTCCATTTTGTTAATTGATACAAAAACTATTAACACTTTTATTTCTGAAAGAATACTTACTTTACACCATTTTTGCCTAAATCTTCTGCACAGTACTGTATATAGCAATATATATTCTCTCTTAAGAACTTTGTTGGAGAGATATCTGCAGATTATTCAATGTCCACACACCTTCTGTTCTTATTACATGGGTTTCACTAAACATATTGTTCTCCTTATTTTAGATTATGAATACAGGAGATTTTGGAACAGAGCCAAGATTTAGGAAAGAGCCAACACTGCCAAACTATCCAAGAAATATAACAACATGGCGGCTCCACCTTTATCTATAATATCACTGTTGTGACTGACAATTTGAAGCCAAACTCCTGACAGCAATTTAGTTTGCAATATAGCGGGGAAGAGTTAAGATCTGTGGCCCTTGTTAAATTACATAGATCAGTGATGAAAACCAAAGTATGAAAAATGTGTACTATTCAATTTATTTCTGTAACATGATTACAATTTAGCTTTCTTCTAAAACATCATCAAGCTATTCAAATTATGTTCATGGCTGCAACATTCTCAGTTCTATGTGTGAAAAGAAAAACACATCACAATGCTTTAAGTTTGCATGTGTGCATGAGAATGAAATGTTTTTAGTTAATACAACAATATGGAGTCAGTTGTATCTTGGAGACTATTCCCCCCGACATTGAGTCCTGTATGGCCTTTCCAGAGATCGGACTTATATGTTATGGTTTCCTTTGCACAATCTCTCTCTCTCTCTCTCGCTCTTCTAAACCTCCAGGTAGGGGGGCAGTTGGGGCAGTTTTATAAAACTCAATCTTACAATTTGATACGGCTTCTCTCCTGTGTGAAGCTTTTAAAGGTGGATCATAGTTCATTTACAATTAGCACATTTGTTACTTCCATTAGTTTGGCTTCTCCACAACTTTTCACATTTTGTACTCTTCAATGGTTTCTGTGCAGTGTGAGTCTTCTGGTGTTTAGGAAGTCTAAAAGTGTGTGAGAAACACTTCCCAACATTTAAATGGCTTTTCCCCCTGTGTGAATCTTCTGGTGTTCAGCAAGTGTAAGCTTATAAAAAAAGCACATGCCACATTCTGAACATATAAATGTTTTATTTCCTGTGTGTATTCTCTGGTGTTTAGTAAGATTAGAATTTTGTGTGAAGCACTTCCCACATTCTGAACATTTATATGGTTTCTCACCTGTGTGAGTCCTCTGGTGCCGAGCAAGACAGTAATTGTTTGAGAAACATTTTCCACATTCTAAACATTTATATGGATTATCTCCTGTGTGAGTCTTCTGATGTACAGTAAGTAAAATCTTTTTAGAGAAACACATGCCACATTCTGGACATTTAAATGGTTTCTCTCCTGTGTGAATCCTCTGGTGCTTAGTAAGACTAAAATGTTCGTAGAAGCTCTTGTCACATTCTGGACATTTAAATGGTTTCACTCCTGTGTGAATCCTCTGGTGTTTAGTAAGATGAGAATGTGAATAGAAGCACTTGTCACATTCTGAACAATGAAATGGTTTCACTCCTGTGTGGATCCTCAGATGTTCCGCAAGATGAGAATCATGTGAGAAGCACTTGTGACATTCTGGGCATTTAAATGGTTTCTCTCCTGTGTGGATCCTCTGGTGCTGAGTAAGAAGAGAGCTTTGTGAGAAGCACTTGTCACATTCTGAACATTTATATGGTTTCTCTCCTGTGTGAATCCTCAGGTGACTAGTAAGACCAGGACTTCGTGAGAAGCTCTTGTCACATTCTGAACATTTAAATGGTTTCTCTCCTGTGTGAATCCTCAGGTGTTTAGTAAGACCAGATTTTTCTGAGAAGCACTTGGGACATTCTGAACATTTAAATCTGGTGTTTAGGAAGTCTAAAAGTGTGTGAGAAACACTTCCCAACATTTAAATGGCTTTTCCCCCTGTGTGAATCTTCTGGTGTTCAGCAAGTGTAAGCTTATAAAAAAAGCACATGCCACATTCTGAACATATAAATGTTTTATTTCCTGTGTGTATTCTCTGGTGTTTAGTAAGATTAGAATTTTGTGTGAAGCACTTCCCACATTCTGAACATTTATATGGTTTCTCACCTGTGTGAGTCCTCTGGTGCCGAGCAAGACAGTAATTGTTTGAGAAACATTTTCCACATTCTAAACATTTATATGGATTATCTCCTGTGTGAGTCTTCTGATGTACAGTAAGTAAAATCTTTTTAGAGAAACACATGCCACATTCTGGACATTTAAATGGTTTCTCTCCTGTGTGAATCCTCTGGTGCTTAGTAAGACTAAAATGTTCGTAGAAGCTCTTGTCACATTCTGGACATTTAAATGGTTTCACTCCTGTGTGAATCCTCTGGTGTTTAGTAAGATGAGAATGTGAATAGAAGCACTTGTCACATTCTGAACAATGAAATGGTTTCACTCCTGTGTGGATCCTCAGATGTTCCGCAAGATGAGAATCATGTGAGAAGCACTTGTGACATTCTGGGCATTTAAATGGTTTCTCTCCTGTGTGGATCCTCTGGTGCTGAGTAAGAAGAGAGCTTTGTGAGAAGCACTTGTCACATTCTGAACATTTATATGGTTTCTCTCCTGTGTGAATCCTCAGGTGACTAGTAAGACCAGGACTTCGTGAGAAGCTCTTGTCACATTCTGAACATTTAAATGGTTTCTCTCCTGTGTGAATCCTCAGGTGTTTAGTAAGACCAGATTTTTCTGAGAAGCACTTGGGACATTCTGAACATTTAAATAACTTCTCCCCGGTGTGAATCCTCAGATGAATATTGAGTTGAGACTTATAGGCAAAACTCTTCTGGCACACGAAACATTGGTGCAGCTTTTCTGTAACTTTGTTCATTTTGTCTCTCCTTTTAGCGGTGAATGTTTTCCGCAGTAGATGTTGAATGGCTAATTCAGGTCATTAATTACCTATATGAAAAGTCAAAATAAATGTTTACACACAATCTCAATACAAACAACAGACTGAGGTCAGATATTGAGTTTTGAAAGTTTATAAATGTAAGAATTCCTCACTGCCCATAGCAGATTTACTGTATGTAATAAATATCCATAACTCTGGCAGAGTAGAGATATATGACTTTACTGTTTTTTAGACAAAAATCCAAAGTGTACACCTATAGTTTATCATTATAGTGACCTCAGTTGTCTTCATATACTCTTATTATAATGACTATACATGATGAGTCTATCTAATCCAAATATCTGTTCTCCTACAGGCCCGTTCCAACTATCCAGTGCAAGGTTCCTTTCCATTAACACACTAGATCACATAAACAAACCCTCCCTGCATTCTGGTGGTGCCATTCATTCCAATGGCATTGCAGGCATGCCACCCACCCGCACCGGAACATGTGGTACAGCAATGCCCTGCGCTCCAGTGCGGTGCGATCACAAAAAATTGTGCATGCAGTATTGCTTTTACGTGGGCAGGGTGTGTGTATGCGATCTGAGCAAGGAAACATGGGACTCTGGCGCTCCAAAATCATTGAACGTCCTTTATTTGAGAATGTGCATAATATCACATAGTGCCAACATTTCAGGGTCATGCTGGATCCCCTTCATCAGGCAAAACCATGTGAAATAACAAGTGCAAAACATACAATATATACACATAGTGCATAACATCCTGGCCAATCCTAGCACTACAAAACACCCAATAATGTCATAATGACATCATTTTCCGATTATGTAGCAGAATAGGATAGAGGGCAATCTATGCTGGAATAGGTAAACATTAATGTGTAATAAATGGCAGTATCCAGCCTGCAAATATTAGAACGCCTGCTGGCTAAATATGATCGGTTAATTTGTTCATAGGAACCATGCTGTTCGTGTGAGTGTCCATGGTAATGCTGCAGTCATTGTGCCCAGGCCGGACAGAATGCCCCGCCTCTCTTATAGTCATCCCTGCTCATTTGTCAAGGGGAGGCAGGGATCTCAAGTCTCCCTGATGTTCAGGGAGTCTCCCTCCATTAGATAGCGGCTCCCTGACGTCCGCGAGAGAGGCATTTTCTCCCTGAAATGTTTACTCTGAGTAAACCTTTCCGGTAAGATATCAGTGGGTAAAGTTTCAGAGTGAGGCTTGCCTCCTGGAGGAAGGTCATGTGATCTCTAGAGTAGCGTCAGAACGAGGCTTGCCTCCCGGAGGAAGATCATGTGATCTCTAGAGTAGCCTCAGAACGAGGCTTGGCTCTCAGAAGGAAGAAGCTACTTGCTGCACAGAGAGGGCGGACATAGACTACTATTGAGAGCAGGTACAGGCACTGCTGCAGGGTTGAGAGAGTGCTGTTAACCCTTTGTGGATAATATAGAATCAATTATATGTCCTGGTTGTCTAGTTATAGAGAACATTTATTTCATTTGCTGCAACTAGTCAACTGTGTTCAGGGACTTTACTCCTCATTGTTTTTTTTTAAAAAGGTCTTGGGCTTCTAATAAATTGTGACCTTTACACTGACAGATACTTGAACATCAATTCACAAATCTGATGTGTGTATATATATATATATATATATATATATTATCATTATTATTTCTTTTATATTCTGACGACGGCCGCTGTAAAAAAATAAAGAAAGGGCATCTCCCTGAAATGAGATGGGAACCTCCCTGAAATAAGGTTTTGCAGGTTGGGATGTCTGGGAAGGCATTAGCTGCACACACCCATAGGCTGCAGAATCAGTCTGTCGCCTTGTGCAGAGAGCGCAGGGAAGCTGAGGAGACCTGGACATTCGCAGAGGGTTTGGGAGCTGGCGTAGAAGCAGCTCTATTACTAGCTGGCACATGCACTGTAGTTGCTCCTGTAGCCTCATGCAATGCATGCACCGCATTCAGGTAGAAGGCAGGTGGAGGGGAGAATGGCGGGGGCTACTGGAGGGGGACAGTGCAGCACACAACAGAAAATGCACTCTGTATCATTAGCTCACAGACTGGATCACAGAAATCAAGTGGTGCTCTGCCTATACACTCCTACCACTTCCTCTATTTCACAATGCCTCATGGGATATGTAATCAGCTTTCTCTGCCAAGATATGAAACGCACTGGTTACCTAGATCCTCCCTCTGTCTGCAGGAAGGACTGATCTGTACACAGGAGGATGTGACATCACTGCCTAGAAACAAGGATTACAAGAAAAGTAAGAACAGGGAGACCTTTGTTTTTTTTTCCAGTTTCTCGATTCCTCATTTTCTAGTGGGTCCCTGCATCCTCTGCCCCCCGCCCCCCCCTCTCCCTGCACGGGCGCTGCCAGCAGCTAAGCAGTTGCTATGGAGGCACCCGTACATGCGTGTTCCAGCAATGGCTGTTTGCGTCCATAGACATACACAGCCCTGCAGCGGGCCACGCCCCTCCCCTTTGCACCAGCAGTGGTGACAGGTAATTGTGGGGGGACAGGGGAGTCAAAAAGGTACGGGCGTTATTTACCTTAATGCAGGGAATGCATGAAGGTAAAATATGCCCAGACCTTAATACTACTTTCACTTTAGCCTCCAAACTGGTTAAGGTAATTTGGTTGCATTTGGCTGTAGATGGTCTGAATTGCAAGAAGTAGGGATGCACCGAAATTTCAGGCGCCGAAAAAACAAATCAGCCGAAAATGGTACTTTGGGCAAAATGCCAAAAGTATAATTTTTCCTCCGAAATTGCGGTGCATTTATAGTTTCTCTCCTCCTCGCTGGGTGCTGCTTTTGGCTGTGATAGCGTAGCAGCTTTATCATGGCTTGAGGAGAACCTGCATCCAAAAATGGAGCCATTTACCACTGTGCCTTTAAGGATTGGTGCTGGCCATGGAGCTGGAGAGATCTGCAATCAATAAAGCCCATGTTCTGACACTACCCGTCAGAACTTGTTAGATACTCGCAACAATGCTGTACATATGGCAGTCACATACTCACTTGTTAGAGAATTAAAGGGTTATAACACAACAGGCAGAAGAGAGGCCTGCAAATGGAGCAACACATTCCATAGGGCCCCATTTAAAGTAGTTTTAAAGTCACTGTTGTTTTCAAATATATCTACTGTCGGCAAGCAGTAGATATATGCAAAAACATTATTAAAAAAAAGTTACCAAATAGGTAAAAACTTACCTGTGTCTCCGCCGCTCGCTCCCATCTGAATATTCTCGAGTGGTGATGTAGGATCATGGGGTGGGCGCATGCGCAGTAGAGATCTTCAGCTAGGAGAGAATCAGTGTATGTCAATGCACGCAGTCAGGAGCATGCTCGTTGGACAGATAACGTGGGACACAGAAATCACAGCAGTCAGAGCTGGATCAAAGACTGGCACCAGCCCTGGAGGGACTCCTGAAAACTACTAGAAGATGATCGGATCAAGAGGCATCATTTAAGGTAAGTCCTTAAAGCAGTATTGGGGGGAGTGAATGTAACTTTAATGTCACTTTAAGCATTAACAGCATTATGGAACTACAGGTGGCAGCAAAATATGCACAGTTTTCTGATGGTGAGGCTCAATCATAATCCCGCCAGAGTCACAAGGCCAGGAAGCCTCTTGGCCGCCATGAAGACACCAAAATCTGCACCCCAAACTTTGTAGATGTAGGGGAGGCTTCCCTCCTAAGGTGCGTTTAGCCCTGTAAAACTACGCAACAGGAGAGGCTGAAATTGTGCGGCAGACCAGAGGAAACTGGCAAGCTGAGGGTAAAATATTAAAAATAAATCATAGTAACGGTATAGCCGACAGTGAGGACAAAACTGAGAAAATTCTGCCTTGCTGGGGATGTTTTCATGTATAGTATAACCAGGCCTGTGATTTGGTGTGGTGAGTGGCAGAGCTATGCCCATGTGCATGTTGCCATGCTTGTGTGAGGAGATTGTATATATATATATATACACTATATTACCAAAAGTATTTGGACACCCTTCCAAATCATTGGATTCAGGTGTTCTGTGAAATTCCTTGCTACTAAATATTCCACGGTCACCTGTTACTGGTATTATAACAAAGTGGAAGCAACTGGGAACAACAGCAACTCAGCCAGTAAATAGTAGGCCACGTAAAATGACAGAGCGGGGTCAGCGCATGCTGAAGTGCACAGTGTGCAGAAGTCGCCAACTGTCTGCAGAGTCAATAGCTACAGACCTCCAAACTTCGTGTGGCCTTCAGATTGGCACAACAACAGTGCGTAGAGAGCTTCATGGAACGGGTTTCCATGGCCGAGCAGCTGCATCCAAGCCTTACATCACCAAGTGCAATGCAAAACGTCGGATGCCGTGGTGTAAAGCACGCCACCACTGGACTCTAGAGAAGTGGAAGTGGAGTGGAAGAGGAGACGTGTTCTCTGGAGTGACCAATCACGCTTCTCTGTCTGGCAATCCGATTGACGTGTCTGGGTTTGGTGGTTGCCAGGAGAACGGTACTTGCCTGACTGCATTGTGCCAAGTGTAAAGTTTGGTGGAGGGGGATTATGGTGGTGGGGGGTTGTTCTTCAGTGGTTGGGCTTGGCCCCTTAGTTCCAGTGAAGGGAACTCTTAAGGCATCAGCATACCAATACATTTTGGACAATTTCATGCTCCCAACTTTGTGGGAACAGTTTGGGGACGGCCCCTTCCTGTTCAAACATGACTGCGCACCAGTGCACAAAGCAAGGTCCATAAAGACATGGATGAGCGAGTTTGGGGTGGAGGAACTTGCCTGACCTGAACCCGATAGAACAATAGAACACCTTTGGGATGAATTAGAGTGGACACTGCGAGACCGGACTTCTCATCCAACATCAGTATCTGACCTCACAAATGGTCCAACATTCCCATAGACACACTCCTAAACCTTGTGGACGTCTTCCCAGAAGAGTTGAAGCTGTTATAGCGGCAAAGGGCCAA